TATTTCTTTCTTTTCTTTTCTTTTCTTTTCTTTTGCTTTCTTCTTCTTCTTCTTCTTCTTCTTCTTCTTCTTCTTTCTTTCTTTTTTCTTCTTTCTTCTTCTTTTCTTCTTCTTTTCTTTTTTCTTCTTCTTCTTCTTCTTCTTCTTCTTTTCTTCTTCTTCTTCTTCTTCTTCTTCTTCTTCTTCTTCTTCTTTCTTTTCTTCTTTTTTTTTTTCTTCTTTTCTTCTTCTTCCTTCTTTCTTCTTTTTTTCTTCTTTTCTTCTTCTCTTCTTCTTTTTTCTTCTTCTTCTTCTTCTTCTTTTTTCTTCTTCTTCTTCCTTCTTCTTCTTCTTCTTCTTTTTCTTTTCTTCTTCTTCTTCTTCTTCTTCTTCTTCTTCTTCTTCTTCTTCTTCTTTTCTTCTTCTTTCTTTTCTTCTTCTTCTTCTTCTTTTCTTTTCTTCTTCTTTCTTCTTCTTCTTTTTCTTTCTTCTTCTTTTCTTCTTCTTCTTCTTCTTTTCTTCTTTCTTCTTCTTCTCTTTTTCTTTTCTTCTTCTTCTTCTTCTTCTTCTTCTTCTTCTTCTTCTTCTAATAAAACTACAAGTTGATCCAGTGATAGACAATTTAACACAGCGATAATGGTATAGTGGTGAGCATGTTGCCCTCCAAGTAGTTGACCCGGGTTCGATTCCCGACCATCACAGTAACATTTCTTTTTTAACTCAAATACACTGGATAGCTTCAAACATAGTTGGATGGATATATGAGCGATAGGGGTTGGGTGTAAACGGGACTGCCCAGTATGGCCATCTGCAGTTTCTCCATTCTTATGTTCTTATTTCCCTGTATACGAGGTTTCTGGTACACAAGAAGACCATGTGGCCGGCACTGCACTCGACCTTCCTCATTTCCTCATTGCAAACTTAGGTCCCCATTCACAGTGAGGTAGACTGGGGGATGACCCGAGCCCAGTGACCTTTAAGACAGGGGTAATTAGTGTGTGAATACGGCTGTAATTAACACTAATTACTTTACTACGAAAAAATTAAACCGAGAACCTTAATTAGCATGTTGAAGAATGCCTATGGTGTGTGTGTGTGTGTGTGTGTGTGTGTGTGTGTCGACATGTATGTTTCTACTTGTACTGTACCTCACTCGAGTGCAACTCCACTTACGTCCTAGAAGGGGAGGTTGATGTAGCTTAATGGATATTGGAAAGTGCCTATTTGTTCTCCATTTAAGGTGTAGGAACTCAATATAGGGATGTAGGAACTCAATTAATGATGTAGGAACTCAATTAATGATGTAGGAACTCAATTAATGATGTAGGAACTCAATATAGGGATGTAGGAACTCAATTAATGATGTAGGAACTCAATTAATGATGTAGGAACTCAATATAGGGATGTAGGAACTCAATTAATTATGTAGGAACTCAATTAATGATGTAGGAACTCAATTAATGATGTAGGAACTCAATATAGGGATGTAGGAACTCAATTAATGATGTAGGAACTCAATATAGGGATGTAGGAACTCAATTAATGATGTAGGAACTCATAGATGTAGGAACTCAATTAATGATGTAGGAACTCAATTAATGATGTAGGAACTCAATATAGGGATGTAGGAACTCAATTAAGGATGTAGGAACTCAATTAATGATGTAGGAACTCAATATAAGGAGGGAACTCAATTTATGATGTAGGAACTCAGTGTAAGGTATTGGAGATCAATTTAAAAAGTAGTAGTTATACATTGAGGGAGAGGCAATCTTATCTGTAGCTACGTACTATGATTTGACGAGCCTTTGACAGACAGACACAGACAGACAATCAATGGCGTAGCGAATAGAGCTATATGGTCGAAGCAAGCGAGGTATAAGAATGCTTTCGAGGTTGGTTCGGTTTATATTTATCGTCGTGGCTGTATCGGGAAATTTATTAGATCCGTTCTAACAATAGTAATAATAAAGTGAGGTGGTGGTTTCTGGCTAAGAGGTGAAACAGTGAGGTGTCCTGGAATCTGTTCTAATAAGGTCTGGTGAGGTGTCTAGAAGTGCGTTGTGTACAGTATGGGCGGCAGGGAGCTTCTTGGAACACAGAGTAAAAGATTGTCAGCAATTTTGGAGGAACAAGACATTGACCATAATGATATTGACCACGAGATATTGACTACAAGATACTGACCACGAGATATTGATCATAATATATTGACCCCAAGTCTTTGACCACAAGACACTGACCACGAGACATTGACCACGAGACATTGACCACCAGCCTCCAGGAAACAAGAGGCCGTGATGGTGTAAAACTTTGAGGTGAGTATCGTGTTTCAGCCTCCACTTGACTGTCTCGAGGCAGGAACAGTCTACTTCTGCTGCCTGAAACAAGAGTCAAGTGAACATCTGAGTTATGGAACGCTGTATAAAAACAACTGGACACAACAATCAATTTTAGAGCAAATAAGAAGTTTATTGGTAATTCCAGATATTATTAGTTAAGAAATATTTAGTGATAATGTTTAGCATAAAGTAGGCCTACCAAAATTTACCCCTTCCCCCTTCGCAAACACCCCCTCCCCATCACTACCCCCCTCACGTGGTGCCCTATGGAGTCCTGCTACAGGTGACGTGTTGGGGGTATTTGTCTATCAGTGATTCTTCCCTCCCCTTCCCTCCCCATTCCCTTACTCCTTCTCCTTCACTCTTTTCCTTCCCTTTCTCCCCTGACCTTCCTTCCTTCCCTTCTCCTTTCTCCCAGTTCCCCTAACCCTCACTCATTCCCTCCCTCCCACTCATCCTATCCCTCCTCTCACCTTTCTCTCCTCTCCTTCCCCTTTCACTCCTCCTGTTAACCCCACTCATCTCATTACTTCATTCCACATATTTCTACATCACTACACCCCCCCATCGTTTGATCATACCTCTCATCTCTTTCATTCTATATTTCGCCCTCTCTTATTCCTAGTTCGTGTTATCAGTATAGTTTCATCCTTGTCATTATTTCCACATTTTCACCTGCTGCGTCGTGCCGGGGGACGTTCATCTTACCTGGTTGAGTAAAAAAAAACTTCCTTTGTTATGATGCGTGAGGCCAGGTGTAGTTAGTTACCTTCTGCCGTGTCTGTCTGTCTGTCATGTTTCAGTAAAAAAATAACGCTAATAGAAATTATAATGATGAAAATATTATAAAACTCTAATAATAATAATAATAATAATAAAAAAAATATGTGCCCTTCTAACACTCAACAACATAAGAGTACACTACACACACTCCCCGCAGCGTGGTGATGTAACACACACACACACACACACACACACACACACACACACTTCTTGACTGACAGGCACTGACTGACCGCAGCCTAAACCAACTGACAGCTAGTGATGGCGGCTGTCAGTTCTTATAGGGGCGGTGTGCTGACAGTAAGCTGACTGGATTTTGGTGTGTGAGGGAGACTCGGGGAGCGTGTGAAGTGGGTTACTGGCGGTGAGTGGGGAGGGTAATGGTCTTGGGGAGTGGGGAGGATAGTGGTCCTGGTGAAGTGGTATGGGTGAGGCTGTGTGAGTGTGGTTTCGGATGAGCGCTGCATGAGGGCGTGTCATTGATGGCGTGTGTGTGTGTGTGGTACCAGCGCAGGTTCCTCAACATACGTACATGCGGTTTTAGCCTCATATATATACGTGTTTACTTGTCACTTATAACAAAACGTTCAATCAGCTGTTTGTCAGAGGTAACGTATTGTCGACACACACGCTAAGTACTCTCCCTCCTACACACCTTAAAATTAACCCACCTTAATACCCTGCGTACTCCACCTCTCCAATTACAATACAATGAAAAACATTAATATTCTCTATGACAATATAAAGAATGTCATTAATATTGAATATGATTTATGTAACAATTAGTGTCATAAGGGTAAACTAATACTTATTTTTTTACTTAACGTTCACCTACGTATATGTATGTGTTTATTAAATATAAGTTGTGTTAAGTTTATATCATGTAAAAGGCTCTAGGCAGGTAGAGACACCAGCTGTTAGGGTAAACATTAACTTCATAAGGTATTTAACATATATAACTCTGCCACTAAACATTAACTTAATTAGTCCATTAACACACCGGAACTAGCAAGAGCATAATTAACAAACAGAGACTCAAGCAGCGGCAGGAATTTATTGGTATATTAACATGGAGTTTTAGGAGGCGCAGAGTTAAGCCCACCACAGTAGCAGTGCGGGTTTTTACCACTGTTAATATCCACCATTAACACAAACCATGGTACCATTATACTCCATTATCCCGGAGATGTTAGGGGGAGAGGGGAGGGAGGTTGTTTACGTGTCTCTCTTATCTTCTCTTATCTCGTCGACCGAAGATTAAAGTCTATTTATGTTTTATATTATCTTTCTCTCTTTTCTCCTTGTTCATCTCTTCATCTTAGTAAGGAAAGTTTTTATATAGCGTGTGTGTGTGTGTGTGTGTGTGTGCGTGTGCGTGCAGTAATAAGTCACATATTGGATAAATGGAAACTGTTATAAAACTAATTAATTCAGAGACATTAGATAAAAAGATAATATTCAGAAAAAAATAAGATGACTCAATATTGTAAATGATGTCTAAGAGAAAAGAAGGTACTCTGAAAGCCAGATGGGCCATATGTGGTACCAGGTAAGGGCAGGTGGGTACCGGGTAGGGCCAGATGGGTACCAGTAGGAGCAGGTGGGTCAATGTGGGTACCAGCCATATGGGTACCAGGTAAGTGGGCAGGGGCACCGGGAACATGTACCAGGTAGGAGCAGGTGGGTACAATGTGGGTACTGGTAGGGCCAGATGGGTACCAGGAGCAGGTGGGCAATGTGGGTACCGTAGGGCCAGGGTACCAGGTAGGAGCAGGTGGGTACAATGTGGGTACCGTAGAGCCAGATGGGTACCAGGTAGGGCAGGGTACAATGTGGGTACCAATGGCCATATGGGTACCAGGTAGAGCAGGTGGGTACAATGTGGTACCGGTAGGGCTAGAGGGACCAGATAGGAGCAGGTGGGTGAAATGTGGGTACCGGTAGGGCCATATGGGTACCAGGTGGGACAGGTGGGTACAATGTGGGCACTGTAGGGCCAGATGGGTGCCAGGTAGGGGCAGGTGGGTACAATGTGCACCGGGTAGGGCCAGATGGGTACCAGGTAAGGGCAGGTGGGCAATGTGGGTACCAGGTAGGAGCAGGTGGGTGTACCGTAGGGCCAGATGGGCACCAGGTAGGAGCAGGTGTACAATGGGTACCGGTAGGGGCCAGATGGGTACCAGGTAGGAGCAGGTGGGTACAATGTGGGCACCGGGTAGGGCCAGATGGGTACCAGGTAGGAGAGGTGGCACAATGTGGGTACCGGTAGGGCCAGATGGGCACCAGGTAGACAGGTGGGGACAATGTGGGTACCGGGTAGGGCCATGGGTACCAGGTATGGGCAGGTGGCACAATGTGTGCACTGGGCACCAATGGGACCAGGTAAGGCAGGTGCACCGGGTAGGGCCAGATGGGTACCAGGTAGGAGCAGGTGGGCACAATGTGGGTACCGGGTAGGGCCAGATGGGTACCAGGTAAGGGCAGGTGGGTACAATGTGGGTACCAGGTAGGGCCAGATGGGTACCAGGTAGGAGCAGGTGGCCAATGGGTACCGGAAATGCCATGGGCACCAGGTAGGGCAGGTGGGACAATGTGGGTGCCCCAAATGGGCACCAGGTAAGGTGGGCATGGTAGGGCCAGATGGACCAGGTGGGAGCAGGTGGGTACAATGTGGGTACTGGGTAGATGGGCACCAGGTAGGGGCAGGTACAATGGGTACCAGGGGCCACAGATGGGTACCAGGTAGGGAGCAGGTGGGACAATGTGGGTACTGGGTAGCCAGATGGGTACCAGGTAGGAGCAGGTGGGCACAATGTGGGTACCGGGTAGGGCCAGATGGGTACCAGGTAGGAGCAGGTGGGTACAATGTGGGTACCGGTAGGGCCAGATGGGTACCAGGTAGGAGCAGGTGGGTACAATGTGGGTACCGGTAGGCCAGATGGGTACCAGGTAGGAGCAGGTGGGTACAATGGGTGCACTGTAGCCAGATGGGTACCAGGTAAGGGCAGGTGGGCAATGTGGGTACTGGGCAATGGCCAGATGGGTACCAGGTAGGAGCAGGTGGGCAATCAGGGTACCGGGTAGGGCCATATGGGTACCAGGTAGGGGCAGGTGGGCACAGGGGATGGAGCAGGGACAGGTAGGTGGGACCGGGGCCAGATGGGCACCAGGAGGGAGGCAATGTGGGTACCGGACAGATGGGCACCAGGTAGGGCAGGTGGGACAATGGTGACCGGAAGATGGGTACCAGGAGAACGGCGGCCAGGAGGGGCAGGTGGGTACAATGGGCCCAGATAGGGTACCAGGTAAGGGGCAGGTGGGTACCGAACAGATGGGTACCAGGTAGGAGGGACAATGTGGACCGGAGGGGGATGGGCACCAGGTATGGGCAGGTGGGTACTGTGGGCACCAGGTAGGCCAGATGGGTACCAGGTAGGAGCAGGTGGGCATGTGGGTACCGGGTAGGGCCAGATGGGTACCAGGTAGGAGCAGGTGGGCACAATGTGGGCACCGGTGGATGGGTACCAGGTAGGGACAGGTGGGACAATGTGGGTACCGGTAGGCCAGATGGGTACCAGGGGAGTAGGTGGGTACAATGTGGGTACCGGTAGGGGCCAAGGGTACCAGGTAAGGGCAGGTGGGCAATGTGGGTACCGGTACACAGATGGGTGCCAGGTAGGAGCAGGTGGGGCATCGGGGGTACCGGGTAGGGCCAGATGGGTACCAGGTAGAGCAGGTGGGCACAATGTACCGGGTAGGGCCAGATGGGTACCAGGTAGACAGGTGGGACAAGGGATGGGTAGGGCCAGATGGGTACCAGGTAGGAGCAGGTGGGACAATGTGGGTACTGTAGCCAGATGGGTACCAGGTAGGAGCAGGTGGGTACAATGGGTACCGGGAAGCACAGATGGTACCAGGTAGGAGCATGTGGGTACAATGTGGGTACTGTCAGATGGGTACCAGGTAGGAGCAGGTGGGTACCGGGTAGAAGGTGGGGTGAGTGGTAACATAATAAATGGTGGAAACTACAGCGAGCCTGTTGGCCCATACTAGGCAGCCCCGTTTATACCGAACCCCTATCGCTCATATATCCGTCCAACGCACATTCCAAACCTAACCTAACCTAACCTAACATAACAAGCACTTAGTTAACGTACACCCAGTTAACGTACACCCAGTTAACGTACACCAGTTAACGTACAGGCTTTGAGGGAGGCATCATGTACTGTACGTTACACGGACACTGAAAATAACTGTTTATTGAGTTGCCAGACATTCATAACAAAGACGCTGTATATCAGGATTGAAGTCGACGATATAGTAGAAGGACCTGGTGGATTTGATGGACCTGGTGGATTTGATGGACCTGGTGGATTTGATGGACCTGGTGGATTTGATGGACCTGGTGATTGATGGACCTGTGATTTGATGGACCTGGTGGATTTGATGGACCTGGTGGATTTGAGTGATGGACGTTTGATGGACCTGGTGGATTTGATGGACCTGGTGGATTTGATGGACCTGGTGGATTTGATGGACCTGGTGGATTTGATGGACCTGGTGGATTTGATGGACCTGGTGGATTTGATGGACCTGGTGGATTTGATGGACCTGGTGGATTTGATGGACCTGGTGGTTGATGGACCTGGTGGATTTGAGTGGACCTGGTGGTTGGTGGACCTGGTGGATTTGATGGACCTGGTGGTTGTGGACCTGGTGGATTTGATGGACCTGGTGGATTTGATGGACCTGGTGGATTTGATGGACCTGGTGGATTTGATGGACCTGGTGGATTTGATGGACCTGGTGGATTTGATAGAGTTGGAGGACCTGTTGAACCTGGTTGACCTGAGGGATCTGATGGAACTTGCCGGACCTGGTAAACCTGGCGGCATAAGACCTGGTAAACTTAAATGACCTGACGGAGCCTGGTGGACCTGCTGGTGGACCTGCTGGTGGACTTGGGTTTTTTATACTCCTTTTGTTTTCTGTTGGAAGTGGAAGACAAAGCAGAGACTAATTATAGATCAAGGCAATCAAAGATAAGAATTAGCAAACAACAGAAATAAAAGTCGGGGAGTGAAGCAAGAAAAAAAAAGTTAATTAAAAAGAAAAAGAAAAAACATGAGATAAAAATTACAAAATCGAAGTTACATTCCAACACAGCAGTAGATAGTAGACAGTAGGAGACGGTAGGGGACAGGAGACAGGAGGCACGGTAGTAGACAGGAAATGCAACATTAAACCTAACCTAACTCGATCAACCCTCGAATCTAACCTAACCTAATCTAATTTAACCTAATTTAACCTAACCTAACTTACTTTAACCTGACCTAACATAACCCAACAAAGTTAAGTCAAGGAAAATTCAGGTTTGAACCCAATTATTTCATCCAAGGGTTTGGTTTTAGGAGTTAGGGTTCAGAGGTTTGAAGGTTCGAGTTATGGAGTCGGGGATTCAAGGTATGGATTCGAGATTCTAGGTTCGATGGTTCGGAATTCGAAGCCTCAGGTTCATGGGTTCAATGTTAGTGGGTCGGGGATTCAAGGTAGGGATTCGGGGTATGGGATTCTGGATTCTGGATTCGAAGGTTCGGGATTCGGAGCTTCGGGTTCATGGGTTCGGTTAGATAGAGAAGGTTCGACCACTCACAGCTGGGTGTCACGAGGTCAACAACACATAAAAACATTACCCCTTAAATCTGGCAATTAAAGATAAGAATGAAGTGTCGTTGTCTGGCATGTGTGTGTGCGTTGTGTGTGTGTTCGTTGTGTGTGTGTGTGTACAGGTATGTGTAATCTCTGCTATCAATATTCTGCATAATGATCATCAGGTAAAAACAGCTAACCTAACCTAACCAACGAGAGAGTTAAAAACAAACCTCAAATTTACACATGAAAGATAACAATAATTTTTACCCTCCGTCTTCATCTCAACTGCAAGGAAACAAACTCTTGGGAGCCTTTTTTTTTTCTTCTGGTAACAACAGCTGAGACAAGGAGAAGCTTTGAGGCCATTGCTCCCCTTTGCGAGTTCTTAGTCGGAGCAGTCAAGGGTGAACAACACACTCCAGATTCTGAAGAAAAATTTTTATGATTTTTTTTATTTTTTTTTTTATATGAGAACGCATTTTTTTTACGCTAGTTTCTCAGTGCAAATTTGACGGCATATTATATTTTGTTTTTTACATCTGGAATTAAGGAAAGGAGGAGAGGGAGAGAAAGGTGATAAGTGAGTGAAAGAAGGAATCAAGGAGGGAAGGAGCAAGAGAGGGAATGGACGAAAGGAAGGAAGGTCAGGGAGGGAAGGAGGGTGAGAAGGAGGGAAGGAAATTACCATCTGAACCTTTGGAAATTTGTGTCACAACCACCACCAAAAACCCATGAGGCGTAACAGGTGTGAGGACTGTGGCAGGTGTGAGGACTGTGGCAGGTGTGAGGCGTAACAGGTGTGAGGACTGTGGCAGGTGTGAGGACTGTGGCAGGTGTGAGGACTGTGGCAAGTGTGAGGACTGTGGCAGGTGTGTGGCAGGTGTGAGGACTGTGGCAGGTGTGAGGGACTGTGGCAGGTGTGAGGACTGTGCTGTGGCAGGTGTGAGGACTGTGGCAGGTGACTGTGGCAGGTGTGAGGACTGTGGCAGGTGTGGTGTGGCAGGACTGTGGCAGGTGTGAGGTGTGAGGACTGTGGCAGGTGAGGACTGTGGCAGACTGTGGCAGGGTGACTGTGGCACTGTGGCAGGTGTGGTGTGAGCTGTGGCAGGTGTGAGGACTGTGGCAGGACTGTGGCAGGTGTGAGGACTGTGGCAGGTGTGAGGAGGACTGTGGCAGGTGTGAGGACTGTGGCAGGTGTGAGGGACTGTGGCAGGTGTGGGGACTGTGTGTGAGGACTGTGTGTGAGGGACTGTGGCAGGTGAGGACTGTGGCAGGTGTGGAGGACTGTGGCAGGTGTGACTGTGGCACTGTGGCAGGTGTGACTGTGAGGTGTGGGGACTGTGGCAGGTGTGGGGACTGTGGCAGGTGTGGGGACTGTGGCAGGTGTGGGGACTGTGGCAGGTGGAGGACTGTGGGGAGGACTGTGGCATGGTGTGAGGTGTGAGGACTGTGGCAGTGTGAGGACTGTGGCAGGTGTGAGGACTGTGGCAGGTGTGAGGACTGTGGCAGGTGTGAGGACTGTGGCAGGTGTGAGTGAGGACTGTGGCAGGTGTGAGGACTGTGACTGTGACTGTGGCAGGTGTGAGGACTGTGGCAAGTGTGGGGACTGTGGCAGGTGTGGGGACTGTGGCTGTGGCAGGTGTGAGGGACTGTGACTGTGGCAGGTGTGGCAGGTGTGACTGTGGCTGTGGCAGGTGTGAGGACTGTGGCTGTGGCAGGTGTGAGGACTGTGGCAGGTGTGAGGTGTGAGGACTGTGGTGTGGGGACTGTGGCAGGTGTGAGGGACTGTGGCAGGTGTGTGTGGCAGGGACTGTGGCAGTGGGACTGTGGAGGTGTGAGGAGGACTGTGGCAGGTGTGGGGACTGTGGGGTGTGGGACTGTGGCAGGTGTGAGGACTGTGGCAGGTGTGAGGACTGTGGCAGGTGTGAGGACTGTGGCATGTGTGTGGCAGGTGTGGGGGACTGTGGCAGTGGGACTGTGGCAGGTGTGAGGATTGTGGCAGGTGACTGTGGCAGGTGTGAAGACTGTGGCAGGTGTGGAGACTGTAGGTGTAAGGACTGTGACAGGTGTGAGGACTGTGGCAGGTGTGGGACTGTGGCAGGTGTGAGGACTGTGGCAGGTGTAAGGACTGTGGCAGGTGTGAGTACTGTGGCAGGTGTGAGGACTGTAACAGGTGTGAGGACTGTGGCAGGTGTGAGGACTTCATTTCTTGGGATCTTTCGCCAAGGTTTGATCCGTAAAAAAGCACAGTGCCAGCCCGAGCAATCAGCAGCGCCTGGCGTTACTGCCCACCCTGTCATAATATAATTGAAGTAGTAGTTATACCAGAAGTTCCTTTCTCCCGCCTTCCTACAAACCAACTTTGATTCGCCAGACGCAGGTTCGTCCTCTTGTAATAGCTACGCTAGACTAACATTCACACGTAGTTTGCCTGCACTGGCGCTCCAAGGGCTGGCGTATCAGTTAATGCCGGGGTAATAATGTCTCTCTCGCCGCCCAACTGAAGGAAGTATGACGCACACCGGCCAGGCTCCTCAGCTTAATGTATATTGATTATTATTAAGATGTTTGTCAGGTGGTGGTTGTGATAGTGGTGGTTGTCTGGTGGTGGTTGTGTGGTGGTGGTTGTGATAGTGGTGGTTGTGTGGTGGTGGTTGTGATAGTGGTGGTTGTGTGGTGGCGGTTATGATAGTGGTGGTTGTGTAGTGGTGGTGGTGTGATAGTGGTGGTTGTGATAGTGGTGGTTGTGTGGTGGTGGTTGTGATAGTGGTGGTTGTGGTGGTAGTTGTGATATTAATTGGTTGTGTGTGGTGGTTGTGTGGTGGTGGTTGTGATAGTGGTGGTTGTGATAGTGGTGGTTGTGTGGTGGTAGTTGTGATAGTGGTGGTTGTGATAGTGGTAGTTAGTGATAGTGGTGGTTGTGATAGTGGTGGTTGTGTGGTGGTGGTTGTGATAGTGGTGGTTGTTTGGTGGTGATTGTGATTGTGTGGTGGTGGTGCTAGTAGTGTTGATATTTGTTGTTGGTAGTTGTGTGGTGGTGTTGGTGGTAGTTGTTGTTGTCAGTCGTGTTGGTGGTAGTTGTCAGTCGTAGTGGTAGTTGTTAGGAATGAGTGGTAGGTGGGGTGGGGGGTGGCGGATAAGTGGTTGGTGTGGTAGATTGGGTGTGATGATAATGTTGTTGTGGTGTGTGTGTGTGTGTGTACATACATACATACATACATACAAGAGAATAGAATTAGCACGATACTGGGAATGAAACTTTAAAAATAATAATG